CGCGCCTCAGGAATCCCTGAAGCGTATAAGCGCCTAAGAATCCTGAGGGAATCCTAAGGGGATCATGAAGGAATGCCAGCGAATCCGAAGGGAATCCTAAGGCAACCTAGCGAATCCGAAGGAATCCTAAGGAATCCTGATGAATCCCACCGAATCCTCAAAGAATCCGAATGGAATCCTAAGGAATCCTTGCGCAGACCGCACGCCGTTCCCGCCCGGGTTCGCGCATGCGCGCATCAGGAATCCCTGAAGTGTACAAGCGCCTGAGAATCCCGAGGGAATCCTACGGGAATCCCGAAGGAACGCCAGTGAATCCGAAGGGAATCTGAAGGAAACCTAGCGAATCCAAAGGAATCCCAAGGAATCCTAAGGAATCCTACCGAACCCTCAGCGCATCCGAATGGAATTCAAATGGAATCCTCAGGAATCCTTGCGCAATTCGCACGCCGTTCCCGTCCGGGTTTGCGCTTGCGCGCCTCGGGAATCCCTGAAGCGCATAAGCGCCTAGGAATCCTGAGGGAATCCTAAGGGAATCCTCAAGGAATGCTAGCAAATCCGGAGGGAATCCTAAGGCAACCTAGCGAATCCGAAGGAATCCTAAGGGATCCTCAGGAGTCCGACCGAATCCTCAGAGAATCCTAATGGAATCCCAAGGAATCCTCGCGCACACCGCACGCCGTGCCCGTCCGGCATCGCGCCTGCGCGCCTCAGGAATCCCCGAAGTGCATAAGCGCCCAGGAATCCTGAGGGAACCCTCAGGGAATCCTGAAGGCATGCTAGCGAATCCGAAGGGAATCCGAAGGAAAGTTACCGAATCCGAAGGAATCCTAAGGAATCCTAAGGAATCCTACCGAATCCTCAGCGAATCCCACTGGAATCCTCAGGAATCCTCGCGCAGACCGCACGCCGTTCCCGCCCGGGTTCGCGCTTGCGCGCCTCAGGAATCCCTGAAGTGTATAAGCGCCTCAGAATCCTGAAGGAATCCTATGGGAATCCTGAAGGAATGCTAGCGAATCCGAAGGGAATCCTAAGGGAGCCTAGCGAATCCGAAGGACTCCCAGGGAATCCTAAGGAATCCTACCGAACCCTCAGCGAATCAGAATGGAATCCTAAGGAATCCTCGCGCAGACCGCACGCCGTTCCCATCCGGCGTCGCGCATGCGCGGAAATCCCTGAAGTGTATAGCGCCTAAGAATCCTGAAGGAATCCTATGGGAATCCTGAAGGAATGCTAGCGAATCCGAAGGGAATCCTAAGGGAACCTAGCGAATCCGAAGGACCCCCAAGGAATCCTAAGGAATCCGACCGAACCCTCAGCGAATCAGAATGGAATCCTAAGGAATCCTCGCGCAGACCGCACGCCGCCCCCATCTGGCGTCGCGCTTGCGCGCCTCAGAAATCCCCGAAGTGCATAAGCGCCTAGGAATCCTGAGGGAATCCTAAGGGAATCCTGGAGGAATGCAAGCGAATTCGAAGGGAATCCGAAGGAAACCTAGCGAATCTGAAGGAATCCTTAGGAATCCTCAGGAATCCTCTGAATCCTCAGCGCATCCTAATGGAATCCTAAGGAATCCTCGCGCAGACCGCACGCCGTGCCCGTCCGGCGTCGCGCTTGCGCGCCTCAGCAATCCCTGAAGCATATAAGCGCCTAGTGATTATGAGGGAATCCGAAAGGAATCCTGAAGGAATGCTAGCGAATCCGAAGGGAATCCTAAGGAAGCCTAACGAATCCGAAGGAATCCTAAGGAATCCTAAGGAATCCTACCGAATCCTCAGCGAATCCCAATGGAATCCGAAGGAATCCTTGCGCAGACCACACGCCGTTCCCGTCCGGGTTCGCGCACGCGCGCCTCAGGAAGCCCTGAAGTGCATAAGCGCCCAGGAATCCTGAAGGAATCCTAAGGGAATCCTGAAGGAATGCGAGCGAATCCGGAGGGAATCCTGAGGAAACCTAGCTAATCCGAATGAATCCTAAGGAATCCTACCGAATTCTCAGCGAATCCGAATGGAAGCCTAAGGAATCCTTGCGCAGCTCGCACGCCGTTCCCGTCCGGGTTCGCGCTTGCGCGCCTCGGGAATCATATGCGCCTAGGAATCCTGCAGGAATCCTCAGGGAATCCTGAAGGAATGCTAGCGAATCCGAAGGGAATCCTAAGGAAACCTAACGATTCCGAAGGAATCCTAAGGAACCCTTAGGATACCTACCGAATCCTCAGCGAATCCCATTGGAATCCTAAAAGAATCATTGCGCAGTTCGCACGCCGTTCCCGCCCGGGCTTGCGCTTGCGCGCCTCAGGAACCCCTGAAGTGCACAAGCGCCTGGGAATCCTGAGGGAACCCTCCGGGAATCCTGATGGAATGCTAGCGAATCCGAAGGGAATCCTAAGGAAAGTTACCGAATCCGAAGGAATCCTAAGGAATCCCAAGGAATCCTACCGAACCCTCAGCGAATCCGAATGGAATCCTAAGGAATCCTTGCGCAGACCGCACGCCGTTCCCGTCCGGGCACGCGCTTGCGCGCCTCAGGAATCCCTGAAG